GGCTTTGGGGGGTTAAAGTAAGTGCCACAGTGTGTGAAATAAGTCCCGGGGGCTGTGTGTGAAAAGAAAGGGCCAGGCTGTGTGGAAAAGTGATTTGGCCAGACGTATTTTGTAGGAGAGCGAGCTTTTCAATATAATGTCCTTTGGACCACCATTTATAGTCTTAAAAAGTTATTTTACTATGCTGAAAAGAACTGAAAACAGTTTTTGTGTTTGGATAGATCCAACATTTGAAAAAAAAAGGACACTTAAATGCCAACAAGTAGATTGAGGAAATGAAAACGTCCGAGGGAAACCCTACAACAAACGCCGAGGCTAAAATGCCAAAAGAGGCTGGGCTTAATTATATCCATGATACTAAAATTATTGCAGAGGACACAACAGGATGGTGAAATTTGACCCCGAGCCCTTATGATAATAATGGTACAACAAGATAATGACGATGGTGATGACGATGATATGCCATATTCCATTACGGCATTACAGTAAGCCAATTCTGCCAATCTGTGTATTGACAAGCAGGTCTGTTTCAGTAACAAATCTGTTAAGTAAGTGTGGGAAATAAGTCTACACAATAAATACGGTTGTTACGTCATAGAAGCACCTAGTGCACTCACCAGGTTGGCAGGTAACTCCACAGCCGTTCGACTTGCACTCGTAGCCTGGAGCACAATCTGTCAAACCGAGATCATTAGGGACAGGACTACAGTCGAAGACACAGGCTCCCTGCTGCGACTTCTTCTCGGGACCAGCTGCAAGTCACATGGTCAATGGAAATAAGTCATGCTGTGAGAAAATAGCGTAGGCACACCAACTAAACTTTGTAAATGGCTAACAAGGAAGGCGGTGTTTGAAGTTGTATCGAGTTAGCCAAGACAGGATAAGAATTGTAGATAATACCATAGGAAAGTTTAAATGTTGTGCTGATTTAGCAACAACAACCACACACAAAATCAGATTAAAGACAATTTTTGTATGTGAAATGATGCAATGGATTCGCCATTACATAGTTCCATTAACAAAGCGTTGTTGTCTCACCATTTGCGGTTTTATTGTCTGATAAAATATTCGACAGGAGTCAATCAGCTGCAAGGAACTTGATCTTTACTTATTTGATGTCCATACTATCAACCTAATTTTTTTGAGAGGCCACTATTAAATGTCTGTAAATTGCATTTTTCAGTAATTTGAAAGAGATTCGTTGTTGTGTTGAGTCATGATATGGCGAACCTCGATATTTGTAATGTGGTCTCTGTAGGATATACCACAGACCTTTTGAAAGCTTCCTGTTTATAATGTTTACATTTTCCTTTCTGGTCGGGATGTTAAAGTCTTTATTTATAGCATATATTAACACCCCCCCCCACCCCCAAAAAAAACAAAAAAAAACTGATAACCAGTGATTTAAGCATGGGGACAATATAGGGAAGGTGTTGCAAGACTTACTTTCGGCTTTTCGCGGCTGTTGGGAAAAAAATTGTCACCGGAAATATGTAATAAATGAAGACATAGTCTTCTATGTAAAGTAAGTTATAACATAATAACAGTATGAGGTGTCGACACATCAAAACGTTTCTATCATAAGCTAAATGCTTGCATCTGTGGTAACAAAAAATATAATCGGGAGATGTGAACCAGCGTCATTCATTGCACAAGGCTATAAACCATACGCCCTCTGCCACCAGTACGGACTGCTGATAAGAAACTGTCCGCCCGTGTCTCTGTCCGCACGCAGCTCCGTAGCTACATCGATGTTCCTCTATTCCCCACCCCCACCCCCCTTACCAACCCAGGTATTTTGGGCTAAGACAGATATAAATACACATAGAGACACAAGAGACAAAGGAAAAAAGAGTGGAAAAAAGGGGGAGATACTGCAGAGAGAGAGAGAGAGAGAGAGAGAGAGAGAGAGAGAGAGAGGAAGAGGGAGAGAGAGAAAGAGAGAGAGAAAAGGAGGGAGGATACAGATAGGGATACAGAGAGAAACGTAGAGAGAGGGGAGAGTAACACTGTGGCAGTGTCAAGGAAAATAGGGAGAGGAGAGAAATCGAGAAGGAAGCAAAAGGCAGCAAGAGGAATGATAGTGGAGAAAGAGGTCTCTTCAGAAATAGTACATGTTCAAGTACAGAATGGTTTGATATTTGATATTTATTATTAGCAGCCTCAAGTATGTGATTAAATCAATAATTAATTCATTTAGGAGGCCACATTAACGCAGTCAATAGGAGACTCACTTTCAAATCCAGCTACAACTCGCTGCAGCCCACGGTCGGTGTTCGAAACCGGGCGGTTCCCGGGGTTCACCAAGCATCTAGGTAATGGGTACCAGAGTTAACACTCTAGGGAAAATAGAGGAACGTCGCTGTAGCTACGGAGTTGCGTGCGGACGGCGACATAGGTGGACAGTTTCTTGCCAGCTGCACGTACTGGCGGCAGAACATTTTTTGTTTATAACCGTGTGCAATGACGCTGGTTCACATCTCACGACGTCACCTTAATCTTTCATTCATGAGGAACCTAAACGACTGACTGACTGACTTTCTACCCCACCAGGACATCACACAAGCGATAAACACCCGATGACACAAAGTGCCACCATATGGATGAGGATCGCCGTGGAGAGGTCTCAGAAACCGCGTTCAGACATTTGGCCATATTTATGGCCTGCCTATATTGCGGCCCCTTGAAAAAGCCAGGGTAGGGCTTCAAATAACAAAAACTTTCGTCCTAAAAAGGACGAAACTGAATAATAACCACATTAGAGGAACCTAAACAATTCCTTTCGATTTTTTAAAACATGCACGAAGGCTCGGCAAGAATCTAGAGACCAGCAGCTGGTAAAACAGTTTCCACACATCTCACCAAGTTGGCATGTGTGCCCACATCCGGTAGACTTGCACACGTAGCCTGCTTCACATTCACCAAAGCCGTTGGGATTGTTGGGGTCGAGGCTGCAAGTCTCCACACAGATGCCAAACTGTTCCCCAGAAGACTTGTCTAGCTGTAGAACTGAGAAGGAATATGGATTTGTTTTTACAGAAAGCTCAAATCAAATGTTAAACATCCATTCTGTCCTAACGATGGCAATAAGAAAAGATCAAAGACAAAACTGCACCCATGTCTTCTTCTACTATTTTTTTTCTTCTCTTTTTTTCTACTACTTCTTCTTCTTCTTGTTTCGTCTCACAGATACCCGATTGTAGCCCAGTGTCGTGGTTTTCTGTACTTGTCTTGCGATTTTCGGCTGGCTTGGACAGTGGATTTGTTCATCCTTTTGCCAGTTTCAGCTACACCATTTATCCACATCTTTCTTGGTCTTCCTCTCGACTTCGTCTCATGTGTTCTGCTGTAAAAATTCTCATATACATTTTGGTCTTATTCTAAATTTTTCTGTAATGCTGGAATTCTTGTTTTGTTAATGACTTGTAGAAACCACACAATTTCTTTTAAAATGTATGCATTGCATTTAGTTACATTGATTACTGTGCAAGATATATTTTTACAATTCCCTACCGAGTGGCTTCAAATGCCGTTTGGTCCACTGAGATCGCCTTCAACATATATTCATGTGAAAGACAGAACATCCTAACAGATATAAGAGACCAGTACTACTATTTGTTGGTGACGGGTTGAGTTGTCTAGTTTAGAACAGCTGGTGATTCCGATGTCGGTCAGGTTAAAGACAATGTCCAGATACTCATATATATAGACGCACACACACATACACATTTATATACACACATATATATAGACTAACACACACACACACATATATATATATATATACATATACACACACACACACACACACACATATATATATATATATATATATATATATATATATATATATATAAATATGTGTGTGTGTATATAGATATGTGTGTGACACACACACACATACACACATATCTATATATATAGATATGTGTGTGACACACACACACACACACACACACACACACACATATATATATATATATATATATATATATATATATATATATATATATATATATATATATATATATGTGTGTGTGTGTGTATGTATGTGTGTCACACACATATCTATATATACACATACACACCCATTTATATATATATATATATATATATATATATATATATATATATATATATACACACACACATATATATATACACTCACACCCATATATATATATATATATATATATATATATATATATATATATATATATATATATATATATATATATATATATATATATATATATATATATAGACACACAAGTAAAAAAAATCGAATATGAAGATCCGTGAATGGAAACAGACGTACTCAACAAGCTACATGAGAATCACAGACTGGTGACGCCGTAACACATTCAACAAATCCGAGCCGGGTGGGTTGGGGGAGAAGCACAGGGAGACTGAAAGAGTCGATGTTCGTCGGTTTAACATAATGAAATGGAAGATCCTGTGTGTCAGAATTGATAGACAGTACACGAGACAGACGGTTATGAACAGACATGACTACCAATGCTACACTGCATAGACTGAAGAACTGATTTCTCCGCACAAAACCCTTTCTTCTTCTTTATTTACAACACATTTAAAAATAAAATAGAGTGCACAATATTACGAGAATGATGGTAGACACATCTAACCAGAAGCCTTGCACACAAACGTTAAACCCTTCTCTCGTGTGATCCATCTACATGCCTTGCTGACATTCTGAACTTCGTCTTCTTCTTCGCCTTAACCAGCTGTAAACTCTTAAAAGTTTTGTTTGTTTTACCACTTTTGGACTGCAGTCCTGTTCCGGAACCTTAGTGTTGCATGTGCATCCGCTTTACACATCTGACTCCTTTCTATGCAGACTGCTGGTTCGTTGCCTCTCAGGCAGACGCATCCGAAATTGAAGGAAGCTCACAATTAGTCGACCCTTACGACATGCAGGCAGAGGGTCTTTCCCTGTTTTCCCTATAATTGGGCCACCTGAACTGAAAATTAATATAGGAAGCACTGCCTGGCTGTATGTCTTCTTTTTGTTCTTAGATCCTTCTGTTAGGAAACTTATATCAATGGCAGGTAACCTTGACGGAAGCTATCGCGTGCCTTTTAAAGTGAATGGGTTTGCTTGTGTATGTAGGTTAGGTGTGCATTTTACCACATTTGCTTTTATTTTTTGACTTCATATTCAATATATGCATATTATTGCATACGCATAACATGCTTTATTGATAGAATACTGCTGTGCGAAAGATTGGTGTTTGGAAGGACCGAATGTAAGACGGGCCTGCGTGCCTAATTTGTGACCTTTTAAAAAATAAAACGTTCGTTCGTTAGTACGCTTGTTCACTGTGTAACATACAACTTTGTCTTCATTGAGATTTAAACAGGCTAGATTGTTTTTCTGTTATCAGTATGCCCTACTGAAACCTGCTCAGCATTTTCTGGTGCCAGTTTGCAGGGATAAGTCTCCGTGTTTTCTACACTGAAAAATGTGAACATATTTCTGCGAAGTCTGTGCTTCCTCCTTTGTCTGAATCAGATACAGTGTCCCTCCATTGTAAGGTAAAGATCCCTTTTCCATGCCTTTGAGTGTATAAGGCATATAGGGCTAGACTTATATTTGAATAGACTAATCGGCACAAGATGAGTGATGTGATCAGCATCACGCCGGCCGTCTTTGACTTTCCAGGACTGCACTTCTCAAAGTTAGGTAAAACTTGGGAGTCAGGGTGATTACATGAAAAAAGTCCAGGGAGCGAGCTCACGACCTTCCGATCGGCACGCAAGCGTCGAGCCGTTACGTCAAGGCGACTCCCATTGTCCCTCTATAGGAAGGCAATAAAATAAGAAGCTACACAGGGGAGCATGTACAGCAGGAGTCTACCAATCATCGCCACAGGGGAGCATGTACAGCAGGAGTCTACCAATCATCACCACAGGGGAGCATGTACAGCAGGAGTCTACCAATCATCACCACAGGGGAGCATGTACAGCAGGAGTCTTCCAATCATCACCACAGGGGAGCATGTACAGCAGGAGTCTACCAATCATCACCACAGGGGAGCATGTACAGCAGGAGTCTACCAATCATCACCACAGGGGAGCATGTACAGCAGGAGTCTACCAATCATCACCACAGGGGAGCATGTACAGCAGGAGTCTACCAATCATCACCACAGGGGAGCATGTACAGCAGGAGTCTACCAATCATCACCACAGGGGAGCATGTACAGCAGGAGTCTACCAATCATCACCACAGGGGAGCATGTACAGCAGGAGTCTACCAATCATCAGTAGAAGTGATTCCTCGTCTGCAATTGTTTCTGCCCACAAGCTCCTGGGCCGTCTCTGAGGGTGGGCCCTACTGAGTTCATGAAGCTCAGGGTTTACCTGCTCCTACTGCACCTATTAACGGATGTTCTCGGACAGGGACATGACGAAATTGGTGACTGTGCAACAGGTACTGTGCGGGAACATGTGTGTGGTGACTGTGCAACAGGTAATGTGCGGGAACATGTGTGTGGTGACTGTGCAACAGGTAATGTGCGGGAACATGTGTGTGGTGACTGTGCAACAGGTAATGTGCGGGAACATGTGTGTCTCTACAGCCACTTTTCTTGGAGATGAAATGTTACTAAAGTGCTGGGCCTGCCTACAAAAAACTGTAATTGAAACAACTAGATGTTCAACTTACCAAACAAGAGTGTCAGGCAGACGTTGAAAAGGTTACTAGCCATGCTGATGTTCTTTTCTCTTGTTTAATTCAGTGTGAAATCAGTGGCTTTGCCTTGTCAACAGTCGGTCCTAGTATACGAGTCTAACTTTTATACTGAGAAATGTGTCGATTAACCAGGTGGCGTCAGATAAGGACCATACACGTAATAAGGTAAAAGATAGAAATTGAATTGAGCCAAAGATTTTAATTTGTTGACCTGTATTTTATCACGATCTCGCACGTTGTCATTGCAGCTGGATATAAAGTTGAAGACAAGAAGGTTCACACACAATGATACCGGAATCGATACCATATAGCATAGTATGTCTCCGCCGATTGGATAGCCGCCGCCTGCCTACAAGGTCGCATTCGAGTACGGAAAGATTTTTTAGAAACTAACCAGTCGACCTTTAGTGCAGGAGGCAAACGGATTAACCACCCGGACAAAAAAGCTCCCAATGGAGCAGTTATAGTAAATACACATACACGAATTCAAAACAAACATTTACATACATGGAAAACAAATGTTACACAAAATGCAACCACCCACACAAGTGCACAAATAGCACACACAGTACATGTACACAAGAACACAAAAAGAACAGCAACGTAACATGTACAGGTGCAGTCACTTTCAAAAAGAAGCCACTGCGGACAAAAACAGAAAATGTGTTGTCCAAACTTCTAGTTCTTATCTAAAGTCGGGCGGGGTGGTGTGGATGTATGTATGTATGTGTCTCGTTCTGTCTGTCTGTCGTCTGTCTGTCTGTACTGTCTGTATTCTGTCCTGTCTGTCTGTATGTATGTCTGTATGTCTGTCTGTATGTATGTCTGTCTGTATGTCTGTCTGTCTGTCTGTCTGTCTGTCTGTCTGTCTGTCTGTCTGTATGTCATGCCTGCAGGCTTACGTAGGTACGTACACGTTGACGTACGTATGTATGAAGTATGTATGTATGTATGTATGTATGTATGTATGTATGTATGTATGTATGTATGTATGTATGTATGTATGTATGTATGTATGTATGTATGTATGTATGTATGTATGTATGTATGTATGTATGTATGTATGTATGTATGTATGTAGTTGTTGTATGTATGTATGATGTATGTATGTATGTTATGTATGCGTATGTATGTATGTATGTATGTATGGAGTGTATGTATGTATGTATGTATGTATGTATGGTATGTATGTATGCATGCATGTCAATGCATGCATGCCATGCATGTATGTAATGTAGTGTATGTATGTATGCATGTATGTATGTATGTATGTATGTATGTATGTAGGTGTGTATGTGTATGTGTGTAATGTAGTATGTGTATGTATGTATGTATGTATGTATGTATGTAGGTATGTATGTATGTATGTATGTATGTATGTATGTTGTATGTATGATGTATGTAGTTATGTATGTATGTATGTATGTATGTATGTATGTATGTAGTATGTATGTATGTATGTATGTATGTATGTATGTATGTATGTATGTATGTATGTATTATGTATGTATGTATGTATGTATGTATGTATGTGTGTATGTATGTATGTAGTTGTATGTATGTAGGTGCATGTATGTAATGTATGTATTAGTTGGTATGTATGTATGCATAACCATCCGAAGCATGTTTTGGCAGTGTGGTTTTTTGTCTAGTCAACCACAAGTGGTCTGGGATCTATCCCGGCACCCTTTACGAAGACTTTGCTTAAGCTCAGAACTATACCGTGCATGTATGTGTGCCGTGTGTACAATACTTTCTGTATACATGCATTAATATTATCGTGTAGCCGGTCCTTGTAGAACATCGCGCCACGGCGCTTGTACTGGACCAAAATTTTAGGTCTCTCGCCAGACAAGATACTCGTGTACCTCAGCCCATTCAGGTCCTTCAATTACATCTGGCGCCTTTTCCGTTTTTGGTCGGTCTCTATTTCTTCTCTTTTCTCTATGTATCTCTATCTCTCTGCCTCTATGTAGGTCTGTATCTCTCTCTCAAAATAAGTTCTTCTATGTAGTGGTAATCGACAAAATAAGTTTATGAGGAACAATATTCATTTCATAAATGATGTGTGGTATTTACGATTCAAATCAGGTGTGAAAAAGATCAAAGATGAAGGTGGGCTTGGGCTTCCCGCAACTTTTCGTAATGACATACGTATTGTCAAAGTCGGATACGCGAAGATTGATTGGTGTTTTTAAAAGGAGTAGAAAATTATAGGTGAGAAAAAAATGTTGGTAAGAAACAACAAACAGTTTATGTTAACTTTACAAAATCGATCACAATAAACAAAAAAAGGACGTTGCGGCGATTAGCCTTCATCAGCACATAAAGAACAATACAGTACACATACACAAATATACTCTAACTATAAAGTGACTACATGGGACTAATTTACACAATAAATGATACTCATCTGTGTTCCTGGCGAAAATTCCTTTAAAAGGATGTCAAGGGCAGGCACTGGCGAATTTATCAACAACGCACTGACGGGGAGCAAAAGACGGGTTCACTTAAACTAGGAAATGAACCAAGTAGACGCCCACAAACAGCGTACACTGAGTGTCTAAAGAAGGAGGGAGAGGTTGGCCAATAAGGCGTGACCCGGGTTGGGTCGTGGGGATGACATTGGTCCATCTCATGGAATAAAAGTGGTGCCTGTGCTAACGAACAAATACCAACAGACAGGCAGGCAGGCCCGCAGACAGACATGCTGATAGATAGATAGATAGACAGATAGATAGATAGATAGATAGATAGATAGATAGATAGATAGATAGATAGATAGATAGATAGATAGATAGATAGATAGATAGATAGATAGATAGATAGATAGATAGATAGATAGATAGATAGATAGATAGATAGATAGATAGATATAGATAGATAGATAGATAGATAGATAGATAGATAGATAGATAGATAGATAGATAGATAGATAGATAGATAGATAGATAGATAGATAGATAGATAGATAGATAGATAGATAGATAGATAGATAGATAGATAGATAGATAGATAGATATAGATAGATAGATAGATAGAGATAGATAGATAGATAGATAGATAGATAGATAGGATAGATAGATAGATAGATAGACAGATAGATAGATAGATAGATAGATAGATAGATAGATAGATATAGATAGATAGATAGATAGATAGATAGATAGATAGATAGATAGAGATAGATAGATAGATAGATAGATAGATAGATAGATAGATAGATAGATAGATAGATAGATAGATAGATAGATAGATAGATAGATAGATAGATAGATAGATAGATAGATAGATAGATAGATAGATAGATAGATAGATAGATAGATAGATAGATAGATAGATAGATAGATAGATAGATAGATAGATAGATAGATAGATAGATAGATAGATAGATCGATAGATAGATAGTGGATAGTGGGTAGTTCAATAGATGGGCGGGTAGACAAATAGACAAAATGATGGATGGTTATATTTGTGGATGGATGGAAAGTATAGTAGATGGATGGATCGGCCGATATATGAAATCAGGTAAAAACAAGGGTCTCAAGACACGAAGCTTGTCACTTACTGTCAGCTATGAAATAGAGACAGTAGGGGTGACTGTTATACAAAGTATCAGTGGAACCGAGCGCAGAGCTGGTTAAAAAACAGAATGTAAGGGAGCCATGGAAAAATAGCTAGGGTGGATGATGAGGTGAGTGGACGAGTGGGTGATGAGACAGATGGGTGGGTAAATGAGTGGATGGGTAAATGATGGCTATATTGGTGGATGAATGGAATTGCTAATATATAGAATCGGGTAAAAACAGGGTTCTCGTGATAAGATGCTTCTCTCTTACTGTCAGCTATCAAATAGAGACAGTAAGGATGCTTGTTATACAAAGTAATCAGTCGAGCCCGAGAGTAAAACTGGTAACAACCAGAATGTAAAGGAGCGATGAAGGGATAGATGGGAAATCGGCATGTGTGGATGGTAGAGTGAATGGATGAGTGTGTCCTGGGATAGATGGGTGGGTAGATAATGGATGGAATGATGGATGGCTGTATTAGTGGATGAATGGAATGGTAAATGGATGGATCGACCAAATATGAAATGAGGTAAAAACATGAGTCTAGTAACACAGTGCTTCTCTCTTACTGTCAGCTATCAAATAGATACAGTAAGGGTGATTTTTATACAAAGTATTAGTCGAACCCAAGTGCAAAGCTGGTTACAGCCAGAATGTAAAGGAGCGATGGAGGGATAGATGGGAAAACGGCATGTGTGGATGGTTGAGTTAATGGGTAGATGAATGGATGGAATGATGGATGATGTATTTGTGGATGAATGGAATAGTAGATGGATGAATGGATCGACCAAATATGAAATAAGGTAAAAAACATGAGTCTAGTAACACAGTGCTTCTCTCTTACTGTCAGCTATCAAACAGAGACAGTAAGGGTGATTTTTATACAAAGTATTAGTCGAGCCCAAGTGCAAAGCCGGTAACAGCCAGAATGGAAGGAAGCGGTGAAAAATAGCATTGAGTGGATGATGGGATAAATGGTGTGGGTAGATGAATGGGCGGGACGATGGTTACGTTCGTGGATGGATGCAATGGTAGATGGATGGATGGATCGGCCTATATGTATGCTGATATATTTAAACAGGTAAAAACAGGGTCTCATGATGTGATGCTTCTCTCTTACTGTCATCAAGCAAGTCAAGACAGTAAGGATGATTGTTATACAAAGTATCAATCGAGCCCACGCGCAAAAACATCGTGTTTCCTGAGATACCTGCTGTGTAGGTAGCAGAGACTAGTGATGTATTGTACATCGGGTAGGCGTGCAAAGAAACGTGGGGAGCGATGAATGGATGGACAAATCGATTAATAGGCTGAGTGGATCGGGATGAATGGATGATAGGATATATGGATGGATGAGAGGATGGATGGGTAGATGGAAGGATGTATGGATGGATGGGTCTGAATGTATGTTAATCTGACATCGTGTGAACAAGGGTCTCGTGATGCAATGCTTCTCTCTCACTGTCAGCTGTCACATACAGACAGTAAGGATGATTGTTATACACAATATCTGTCGAGTCAAAATTGCAAACCCCCAGGTTGTACAAACACTTACCATCTCGGTAGTCAAAACGAGATATGTACACTGTATAGGAGGATTGCGTTCAAACACTATCACGAAATTGTTCCACATTAAGGACAGTGTATCCATGTGTAACGGGGAAAATGGAAAGATGAATGAAAGTTTGTATGAATAGAGGAGAAAAAAGAAAAGAAGAAAGAGAGCGAGAGAGAGAGAGAGAGAGAGAGAGAGAGAGAGAGAGAGAGAGAGAGAGAGAGAGAGAGAGAGAGAGAGAGAGTAAAAGGTAGGGGAGAAAAAAACAGAAAGGGGGAGAGGAAGGGGAGAAGAGTAAGGAGAGGGAAGACTAGAGAAAACTTGGTATATACCTAGAGAGAGAGAGAGAGAGAGAGAGAGAGAGAGAGAGAGAGA